CATTACCAGCACTGCAGTTTCATCTTTATGGATATTAGGAGAATGTGTTAATGGCTACTTTAGTAAGAGTTTTGCATGCGAAATTAGTATTGTTTTTCATGAGGTTTTTGACCTTGGAAGAAATGGGATAGAATAATAAGGTATGAACTGAATAAAAAAATATTAAATTACCATTGTCTATCCAGCTACAATAATTATAATTCAACGTAAAAAATGCAGATATTATAAGTTGAAAACTTAAATATGAACTCAATTAATAGGCTTATTTATTAGGAAATAAGTAATTTATCTGAGTAATGGCATGATGGCAAACCTTGCAGGTATTTTAGTTAGGTAAACTCTAAAATATGCCTAGTTTTCTAAACATTCAAGAAAAAACTTCAAACCTACAAGAAAAGAGCGTATTCCTTTTTAAAAGACCGGCAACGTACCTGTGACTCCTCTGGTGTTGCGGGTGTTCATGGGCGGCGCTGATCGCTTACAACCAGGTGATCCGTCTGCTAGTTTGCCTCCTATTCCATAAAAAAACATTTCATTTGTCAACCTATTAAAGAACACATAAAATATTAATATCTATATTTTTCTTAACTACAAATAATAAATAACGCTGTATAATAATATGTAGTTTCAGAGATTATGAAACTCATCTCCACTATATACCCATAAGTTCCTTATACTCGTATGTGCCGCGACGTGGTCTGAGCTAGTACATTCATATAATATGTGCATTATAAATGTTTGTATGTATGTACAATACACACAGAAACCCATTAAAGTATACATCGAAGTTTACATTATTTTGTACACAGCTCGACATATTAGAGCAAATTTTCAATTAGAGTGTGGGGTAAAAGTGGTGATTAACAGGGATTAGTCACCAGCATGCCGCTGTGGTAGACATGCATCAAACTATGTAATACCAGTATAAACTGGCCGTCGTATGTACGGCATGATGATACAAAGCTAGATAATGATATACTGGTTGGTCTTCTCGATGTGTCGTTGTGTAGCCGTGGGTAAGTGTAACTATTCAGTTCAATTTAAACTTTGATCCCGGCACCGCTGTTCGTTGAGTGTTTAATGACTTAAATGTTCATTGAAGTGGTTGCATTTTCTGGTTTTACTTTTTTTGTACGAAGAGGATATCGTTTTGTTTCCTTTTGTGGAGTAATTTTTTGAGTGAGTTTTTCTATGATGTGTGAGTTTTTGAACTCAAGATTACTCTGTTTACGAAATATTTTGTTCATTATAGGTCCAAAATCAAAGCTTATATAGCGGTATTTCCGAACCGATACCATATTCAAACCTTCAAGAAAAGAACGTAATCCTTTTTAAAAGGCCGGCAACACACCTATGACTCCTCTGGTGTTGCGGGTGTCCATGGGCGACGCTGATCGCTTACCATCAGGTGAACCGTCTGCTTGTTTGGCTCATATTCCATAAAAAATTGGAATAGTAATATTCGGGTACTCATTTCAACTAAAATTAAGCTTAAATCAGTCGTAGTCTCTCATTGTACATAATTAAAAAGCGTATATTTTTAGGACGAAGGACCAACAAAACTCGACAGCATCTCTAAAAGCAGCATTGAAACAACTTTAGTGTAACACGCTAAACCTAACCAATACAAGTTTAATCTAGAAGAGCCGCTGAATGTTTAAACAGGCAAACTAAATTCAGTCCACATGGTTTGCAACTAAGTATAACCTCCAGCGTATCATCCTACTCCTTTCTCTCTAACTCAATTTCAGCTTTATCATTTTTAGTATAGAGTTGAAAATTCATTGAAATAAAATGGCAGATTGGTATAGATTGACCTGCTGTTCTACGTTTGCTTCCTTGTTTTATATCAAACACACGTTCACAGTTGAAAGTTTGCACAAGAATGTTGGACTATCAAGGTGAATACCTCGGGGACAGTTTAAATAGACTGTTTAACTTCCACGTACGGTGTTTGAATTTGTTGCTTATAAAGCGTTGTAGCTGTAATGTATTCTGATCTTAAAGGTATAGGCAAAAAGGTCGATATTTATTATAATTTTATCAGTAAAGTGTTTCTATGATGAGCAGCAAATCACAAGAACAGGTGGTCGTACTTCGGGCCAACTGTCACCTTTTGTAATATTTTAGAGATTTTTTTAAACGATATTTTTAAGCACTATGAAAATAGACATAAATACTGCAGATTATGCGATTCTAATATATTTATTTACTCACTTCCTTAAGTAACGGTTGACGACGAACTTGACTAGAACTAAAGTTCGATTGGACCGATGACACTAATCTATTAAATAAAACACTAATACGGCTATGCTGTTGACAATGCGAAAGAGGTATGTAAAAATCGTAGCAATTGGCCTTCCATAGTTTCTGCCTACCCCATGGGAGATATGCGTGAGGTTATTCATATATGTAATACAACTACAATAAGAATTTCCAGTAAAAGCTCTCAAGCACCTTTCAACTAAAATCTTGAACGATTGCATAAAACCGTTCCTTCTCCACATCGTAAATTCAGCCCTAGATCGTGGATATAAAGTTTAATTTCCATCTATGTACAAAGCGCCACTTGTTGCCAACCGCGGTTCTATTGTAGTGTGATTGAATCTGAAGGATTAGCAGTATTGTTCGAGGGTGTTAGTGGAACACCTGAGAGGTGGAAACATTCGGAGACGGCGCTGAGATAAATACACTGGTTTTATCTTAAGTTTAATATTTATTCTTGGGGTTTTCTGTCGTTAATTGACCATTGGTTAGTATAAGTGACTGCCTCGTTGACCGAGTGGTCGCAAGTGTGACTGCCGGGGAAGGGGTCTCGGGTTTGATTCCCGAGTCGAGAAAATAATTACTGAGCTTTTAAAAATTCTCAGTAGTAGCACGGAGTCTGGAATTGTGCCCGGTATATGGCAATAGATTCGCCCCCTATTACATGAGAGTCATAACATAAACAGTGAAAAGGGGTGTTACATTGCAAAATGGGACTAAGAGAGTGCCGTAATGTGCACCTCTACCACAATCTGGAATAAAAGGCGTTATGTTATTTTATAGTTTTATTTTGGTTAGTCTGAAAATGACAGATATTTAGAAAAGTGTGGTTTGAAGCCCTAAGCTATGGTAAATAGAATATAGGTCACTTATGTGCAGACAGCAGGTTGTTTAAAACTCATCTCTACTACACAATCGTAGACCACATCATCGCTTACCACCAGGTGAGATAAAGGTCAAACGTCGGCCCATCATTACATAAAAAAATTGAGACTTACGTATAAAATTGAACCCTTTATGACACTGAATCTATATATGATTTGATACATCAGTAATCTCATACCTTACTGACTGCGGAGCTCAATCATAACCGGCACAAAGTATTTAATTAAAACTCTTTTTTCTAAGGAATAAAATGCCAGCTTCATCTAAAGACAACAACAAGGACAACACGGTTGGTTGGGCAACCGGCTGCCGCGCAACGTGTCGCCAGTGCGATTACCACACGGCGCAACTCTTTGTATGATCGACAATTTTTTGTTCTGGGTCTGGGTGTCATGTGTATGTGAACTTGTATGTTTGTAAACGCACCCACCACACAGGAAAAAATCCTAATAGTAGAAAAAAATAAGAAAAAATAAAACGACATAAAAATATCATTCAAATTGTTTATTCTCAGTACATTCAAAGCATTGTCACGTGCCAAAGTCTATACTTATACATATTATTTACATCTTAGTTTTATATTGGGATCGCCTTTTATTATTCTGTTGTTGACAGCAATCATTATATTACTTGCTCATGTATTATTCTGAACATGTGTTGAAATGTCGTTAGTATCAACAAAAATGTTGATAAAAAATCTATTTTATTGCGGCAGTGTAGAGTTTTAGTTTCTTAGGTTGTTGATTAGACGTGAAATTATAATATTACAATACATGAGCACTAAAAAAATTCGCTGACGTCTATTTTCAAATACGACAAAAAAAAAGAAAATGGTCACAAACATTTTATTTTGCCCTGTTTATAAAAAAATATCAAGAATTACATACTAAAAATAATCACCATTTTGTATAATAATTCAGATTTTGTATCTATAGATCAAAACATCACTGATATTTTACAAAAACATTTTAATTTTCGTAGCTATCAACAACAAAATAAATAACCGCTATATCGTTTGTGTGTGTTGACAATAAAGTTAATGACTTATTGTTCAATCATCAGCGGTACATACCGACCGGTAAGGCCAAGCGCATTCTCTTTACTAGCTGTGGCACAATCCTTAGCCTTTATATCAACAATAGTAGGATTAAATAAATAATGTACAAAAATCACCATTCTAACCATTTTCCCAAAACATTGTGTCCATATTAAAAGGGTACAATAAAATAATACCTTTGAAACAAACATCATCGGAACCTTACAAAAGACTAATGCTAGCGTAAAAATTTTGTGCATTTTCATATAAATCACCCTCCATACATTCTGACAAAAATAGATTGTTTCTCTTATTATTATCACTAAACATCGTTTTAAATTAGTTTTCTATCTAAACACAACGAATTTGGAAACTCCATTACAGTCTGGAACTTTCCAAATACGAAGTTTCTCATCTTAACTACATTTTGCGATATTGTCGGCGTATCTAGAACTATCCTTTTGTTAAAAAAATTCTGCCAAGCGTTCCCTATGCCAAAAGAAACATTCACGCTCAAAATATCACACTCCAAAATTGATGGACATAGTCTCGTGAACTGGTTTCATTCATTGTCACTTAAATCACTTGAGGTAACTTGTTGACAAGCAAGCCAAAAGTCTTTCAAGTAAAAAGTCTGAATCTTCTCGATTTTGTTATTTTTGTTTCAATCTGATCTTTATTGACATTAACAATTGCAATAATTGTTAGGTTGAAATAATTTTGGATACGATACTTTGATACCTTTTCTACTACATCTTTTTGTAAACTTAACCAGTCAGGATTGCTTGTCTCACATGGTGTAAAAGCCATCAAATTAATACGTCTTCATAAGTATATGTTCAGCTAATGGCGCACCTATGTTCGCTATAACGCCATTATTCTTTTTCTTATCTTTTCTATGCAAGGTACATTTTTTGTCTTTTAATCCGATCTCAGATTTATTGTGTGTTGTCTTTATTTGTGACGAAACAGATAAGTTACGTTTTTTGGTCCCGCACGATCTATTGTCACTGTCTTTTTTATCACTTGAGATTTTGATAGCACTTTTTGTGTCCACAGTTTTATTTTTTTCTTCTTTTTGTGGTATTCGTTCTTCTTTTGATCCGACCGCTAGCTGTGTGTGGTCGAAGCATTTTGTTGATTTCTGCGGAAGAAAAACAAATTTTAGAATTTTTAAATTAACGAACTTATCCATGTTTACATAAAAATTATCTAGCCTAATTACAAAAATTTCACTATATGCAATATTTTGTTCTAACCTATCATTTCTTATATACAGTTTCCCGATTATTCCTGATAGACATTTCGGGTATCAGCACTTCGCTAGTACAATAACAGTATCTTAGACAATAGACACCTGTATCGTGTACTATCGAGTCTAGGACGTCGTCTGTTGATTTAACAGCTTCATTGGGAGCGACATAGTTTACTGTATCACTTGTACCCAGATCAACAATGAAGAGGTACACTGCAGGCGTCTTATCGTAAACTGTAGGTACTCAATATATCTAACCTAGTATTGCCATTAGAATTCCAATGTTCTGTTATGTACTTTGTAATTAAATTGTAATATAATTCATTTTAGAAAGCATTTTTTATAAAGTTAAATGAGTCCATATCGATGATCAATTGTACACAGCAAAATTTTGCCCCGATCCCTAAAACCCAAGGGTTATAGACAATTATCTGAATAAAAAAGAGTTCTAAAACTTACTGTAGGACTGACAGCCTTAGAATATATTTGTGCTCGACCTTCCAACTCCATTTTGAGTCGCCAGTCTCTTAAGTACATGTGTGCTGCTGCTGCACTCGGCCAGCCTCGTCTCCACGTGTGCCACCTATTACAATTAAAAAAATATATAAATCACTTACTGAGATATTTCATAGATTTTTCTACAGATTTGGTTTCAAAGGAATTGTGACGTATTTAAATTATAAGGCAAACATAAAAATGTGCACTAAATGGAATCTGAACAACAATTTTGCTCAAGACAAATTGAAGGACGTCTGAATAAAAGTACTGTTAATTATTGAACAGGTTTTAAACCCGCACGGTACAATTCTTTCTGTGATCCACAAATTATATTTTCGTGTATTATGTGTATGTGAAATTATTAAAGACACAAACAGTACTGAAGAAAGTCATAGATTCCATTTTTTTAAATACACCCACTATACTGGAGTCGTAATTACTTTTCTCTACAAACCTTGTTAGTAACTGCAGTGTCCTAGACTTCTGTCCCAGTGACCGGTACATGAGCGCAGTATACCTGAAGGTAATCAGGTCTGCTCTAACGTTCCTCTCAGCCCCTCGATACCTAAAACTCAGTCTTGTTGCTTCCAGGTAGTATTTTGCAGCTGGTGCTGGCAACCCTGCAAAGTTCGTTACGTTTAAATCTGAGAAAAAAAATTATAAGCAGATTTAAAAATAGAATGTGAGTTAGATTTAAAACTCGTTTTAAATGGGTTTAGTTTCAAATGCTATTTGCGTGATCATGTTTTTTAATGTAATTTATTATTAAACTTTAACTCAAAGAATGAAAAGTTTTAATATCTAAAAAGTAATTGTAGAAGGTTTTTTGAAATATTTTTAAACAATTGTATAACTTCGATAGCTACACCTGTGCTTACTTTAAATTTAAAAAATGTTAACGATTCATATTAGATGAATTATGTTAAGCGGCTTATTCGTGAAAATTTAACATTTATTTATTTAGTTTTATATGTGCACAATTTGATTATGGCACATAAGGCGAATTTAATGGCATAAGTATAGCATTCTCTACCTTAGGATTTAAGTAGAAAATCTACGAAAAGTAAGATATGGATAATAAACTACTGGAAAGAGATAGAGGATAAAAAATTTTTGACGCCGTAACACGAGTTTTTTATCTATCTAGTCATGATAGGGACTCATTGTCGCTGACCGCTACTAACATAGGCTTAAGTCTTTCTACTAACATCAATTGTATATTAAAATATTAAATTTATGTAAGTCTGTAAGGTATGTATCTATGGGCCATAGTAGCCTGAAAATAAAGTTTAAATAAGTGAATAAAATAAAATAAAAAAAAATTGTCAAGGCGAGCGTCGCACAGCATACTGACTGCTTGATTTCGGTTGGTTTGCTCTATATCAAATAGATACCTGAAGCTGTATGACCTAAAATTACATAAAAATGATATTTTTTTAGCATTATTGTTAAACTTACCTCTACTTCTCAACCAATCACCATACAGCACATAATGTTCCCAGTTACTCGGTTCCAGGTCGATCAGTCTCTTCAGGATCCTCTGCTTCTCATTATCTGTCTTCAAGGACAACAGTTCGACATGCGCCTGCACGAATCTAGGCTGCAGCCATATGCATTTTTCTAACATTGTTACTGCTTGCTGCATTCTGCCACTTTTTCTACAAAATTATTTCAATTAGACCAGGATGGCACTTTTGAACGTCAACAACAAAAATGTAGAAGTCAAGCTAGTTGCTCATTCCAAGGTGTAGATTCCTATGGAGAAGAACAAGCAAGAAACTCCATAGGTTACTCTTTTTCAATCAGGTTTACAATACAATTATCTAGTTACATAGTTTTATTGGTTCGATTGTGTGAGAACAATGCAACACCTAAATCCTGTCAAAGAGATTGAAAAAGAAAATAATTTGATATGTAATTACTTTAAAACCACTTTAAGTTGTAACTATTTGGCTATCAGCCTTAAAACAGAACTTGAATATTATAATGCATAACAAAAACTGTAATATCGTTAGTTGCAAAATCACTCTTAACAGCTACACTTTCAGAAAACGTCCATACTAAACTGTGTCTATTCTAGACTTCACAGTGATAGCTGGCGTCACAATTCTATAGCCTAGAATGTGTGTGTTTATTAACATGACTTACTTATAAAGCTTGCCGAGGTTGTAGTGTGCATTCACGTGGTACTTATTAAACTTTATCGCTTGTAAGAAATGATGTTCAGCGTTATCCATACCCGACACCAGAGTGCCTATGTTGTTGTGAGCACTCGCGTAACTTGGCCATAATCTGAAACATTAATATTTTGAGAACCAGAGGGAAATGTTAATAAATTTTTACCTATGTTACTAACTGTATGTGATAAGTTATAGTACATTTTATTTTGTTATTGATAGAGCTATTTCTATTTAAAAAATGTCCCAAAAATACGTACAAAATACATAATGCGTACAGCATAGAAGACTTAACAATGAACAGTATTATACAAGTATCACTGTACTTGTACGGCCATAGTATCCGATGTTCGTTTGCGACGTATCAGCACGAATACAATGTTCATTCAATTGTATCAGGCCCGTCTTTAGCTCCCCACAATTCCTCGGCACCTATCACATGGTAAAGCTACTTCGAGGCAATCTAAGGCGATTGGCACGCAATTTGATTGCGCTCTAACAGTTGTAAGAGGCCAACATTCATTAGACTGTACATTCGGAGCACAACCGAAACTACGCGCTTGAGATACGGTGCGGTCTGTGTATTGCACTGTACGTGCTAACTGTAGGTACCTATCCGAACTGAAACTAGTAACTACGTTCAACCCCAAAATACTTGTATTATTTCAACGAAAATTTGCTTTAGTTAAAGTTAGCTTTGCATCAAGCTCTACTCTCGGGTTAAATATCTCGCATACATGACGAATAGCTTAATAAACTTTTTGAACTCGACCTACAATAGTTCGCGTTAAGGCAAACGGCTTTGTTACCTCAAAGCTTCTTTGTAATGTTTGATGGCGCTGTCTTGTTGTTCTGTCTCGCGTAGAAAGTTTGCCAAGTTGTAGTGCAGTTTAGCGTTCTGCGGCAAAGTCACTAAATCCGCCCTGCAACAAACAAAACACATTTAGAGGTAATTTACGCCCGAATGCGGCAACCGTACAGCGAATATTGCAAGACTTGTAAATCGTGGTTACCATTTTATGTCATGTTTAATACATTTCTCTTTAATGTTTTTGGAAATGAAAATTCCGAGGTGTTTCCTTATGAAAGTTATTAGTGTTTAGGGAAAACGATTTGTGGCACAAATTGTGTTTGTTTTGCTAATTATGGTACAGAGTTTTGGCTGTTGGGGGTCGAAATTGACCTCATTTGTTATGGAACTTTAAAAAGCGTTGAAATCTCAATATACATTGTTTACATAATTGAAACACAAGACAGAGGTAATTGGTTGAAGCAGTCGCCTGAATACAAATCCCAACAGAGGTGACCTGTTTCGGCTAGATAGGAGATTAAATAAACATTAAAAGACGTCAATTTTAAATCTGTGTAAATTAATAAAGTATTCTGAAACATTCTCTAGAGTCTCTATTCAAAATCTACAAGGACTTTATAGGTTAACTTCGAATTTACCTTTGAATCTATGGGATCAATTTGAACAAAAGCCAGTACTAAAGCGTTCGGCTTTGAAGGAGTCGTTATAGAAGTTTATCTTGCACTCGGAATGCATTCAGTTTTCGGGGCCGAAAACTTTGTTTGATAACGACTGGCTACCCTATAAAGTTGGTGGAACGCGCACCTCACTTCACACAAGTACTCGAATAGAAACTATTTAAAACAGCTTCAGTTTAGAGTATGAAGATACTTCTGTGTGAAGTGTTATCCAAGCGAGCGAATGAGAAAACTGATACTCTTGATAGTGGTAGCTGTAATATAGAGAGGGAAGTTTTGGTTTAATAGAATTTTGTACTTTAGACGCACACTAGATCATCATAAACGACGAAAAGGTCTTATAGCGTGACTACAGAAATATCCATGAATGTTTATCTGACCTGAACCTGACAAAACCAGACATGAACAAAACACTAGTAGTGAACATTACCGTAAAAGATAAACATAAAACCATCTGAAACTCATAACGTTCCATTGGTATTTCTATTAAATAAACCTCTTCAAGCAACGCAGCCCGAACACATTCGTTCTTCCATAAACAAGTTCTAAAACTGCTTCTATAGAAAATTGAATAGACTCGTAAACCGGCAACAGAATTTAATATAACCAATATTTCATTACGGTGTATTTTATGAAGTTGCCATCTTGAAAGAGATCTGAGTTTCTCGGGATGATATCAAACGCATTCAATGTGGTTTGAGGGGAATTTGTTGGGGTTGGATTCGGTGTGAGGTAAAAAGGAACCTTATAGCATTACCTATATTATAAGGTAGGGCATTTTAAAATTAATTTTACAATTTAATCTGTCAAACACCAAGCGGTCACCGGTGACCGCGGCCTATTGTTCTTTAATTGTGTCTGTAAAACCGGTACTCGACGAGTTAAATGTGTGTATTCAATGGGATGATGATTTACTCTTTTTATGGGATAAGCTGGTAAACGAGCAGACGGGTCACCTGATGGTAAGCAATCGTCACCGAGCATGGACACCCGCAACACCAGAGGCGTTACAATTGCGTTACCGGCCTTTGTAGAATGGGGAATTGGAGGATTGTGGGGATTTGGGGATTTGGAAGACCGGAGAAGGGGGAGTAATTGGCCTCTGGTAACTTCACTCAAACGACGAAACACAACGCAAGCGTTGTTTCACGTGTCGGTTTCTGTGGTGTGAGGCTATGGTATCGCTCCGGTCGAGCCGGCCCATTCGTGCGTTTCGCGGTTTTCTTAGTAAAATAATCATTTTATTAGCCCGGAATCAGGAAGTTCGGCGGTGTTTCTATCCCTGTACCTCAGAAGACATGCAAAGCCGTTGGTCTAACGCCTAACCTCTCTCCGGTCGTGTCGGTCTGCCTCCCCATCGGGTTCAGAAAGTAAGGGAACAGAGAGTGCATATTTTGTTTGCACACATACTTGTGCACTGTAATATCGCCTGCGTAGCGGACTAGTCAAGCCAGTGAGACTGCCCACCATGGGAAACATTCATCGAAAACCGATTGGGAGGATTTATTTTATTCTACGGTGGAGAAAGTACTAGTGTTATGTTTTTATTAACCTGTATTCGCACAACCAACCTATGAAACCTTGAAAGTCTGAAACTTGGTTTAACCAAATATTAATTTTGTTGATCGTTGAACAAGTTATAAATCACGTTGTAGTTAAAGTTGAGATATTACAATTTATGGACGAGTTATTATTACTTTTGTTGTTGTTTGAATATTTATAATTTATTTAGTTTATAATGTATGATAAATTATATTAAAAAAACATTCAGTTTTCTTTTTGAACTTTGCCCCATACTAGGCCGTTCTCCTGTGTCGTAGTTGTGTTTATACACATACAATTTACAATGCACGTGACGCCCAAGCTCGAAACAACAATCTGTGAATTACAAAAGAGTTGCTCCGTACGGGAATCGAACCGGCGACACGTGGCACGGCAGCCAGTTGCCCAGCAACCGCGCGCAGTTAGCTTTTGCGATTAGATTATTAAAATGGCAAAAATATATGTGTTGGCTATATGATTTATTATTTTTTCATACCTGTATATGTAGTAATAACGTATTAATTATCCAAAATAATATTATTATTTGTACAGCGTACCATGTTAGGGTATTGTACTACAATAATAATTATTAGGTATGATCCAAGGTTAAGTAAGTAATTTCAATTACGAAGGTCTTTGACCTTTAATAGGCATATCGCTCTAGAGAAATGTACAAAGAATATTTTTTACGTAAATGAGAATTTCAAGAAGAAAATATTGTATTTTTATTTACAGACAATTATTATAACTGCCTAGGCCCTGCCTCGGGTCGAACAAAGTAATACTGTTTTTTTTTTTTAATATCTGTGGTAGCATTCTCAGGCTCACCCCCTATTACATGGAACTCATAACATAAATAGAGAAAAGAGGGTGTTATATTGTATAGTGGCATCAAGTGCCGTTATGTGCATTATGTGCCGGGGATGAATGACGTGATGTTATGTTATTATAAGATTTGCTTTTTTATATTTTCGAAATATTTTCAACAGTAGGTTCTAATTGCAATAATAATTTGGTCAGAAATAAGAACAAAGAGGACTACATAAACATCACGCCTTTTATCCCCGAAGGAGTAGGCAGAGGTGCACATTATACCACTGTACAATGTAACACCCACTTTTCACTATTTATGTTATGAGTCCCATGTAATAGGGGGTGAGCCTATTGCCATATACCGGGCGCAATTCCAGACTCCGTGCTACTACTGAGAATTTTCTTTAAAAACCCAGTAATACAAAGAGAACTAATAATTTAGAATTGAAGATTCGACTGTCAACTGCCATATTGGTCGAATTGTCGTCAGTGTCTAGTATCTAGTGTGCAAACCGCTTCTGTTTCGAACGTCTGACTGTTGTTCGTACTATTATGTGTTAGAATTCCAACCGCAAAACAAAAAGATCACATTTTTCACACAATAAAGTCTAGACCATTGAAAACTTCACCCAAATAACAACAAAGACTAATTAACACCATTACTAACTAAACTATTGAAACATCGCAAAGTTTTCAAAACAATTTGCCACCAATCAAATACATAGTTTTGAAACTCAAAACTAGATCAAACTGAAAATATTATCTAGTATTACGGTTTCAAAATATCAATGGAAACTTCGAATGTCATAGTTAGACAAATGACTAACGATTATACTTATCTCGTATTAATGCCTGCAGCATCTGGTAAGGTCAAATTATTATAATGATTCTGATCTAAGGTCAAAAGGGTATTTGAACAATACTTTGGGCTAAAGTCACAAAGTTCATTATTGTCATTTGTTAGTGGTTAAAAGTGTGTTACATAAGATTTATTTTTGCATGTACTTATAATTGATGAATAGAACATAGGACAGTTGGTAAAATTCAATACTAATTCATATCTTATAATCAAACTAGTTCACCACCCTTCATCCTAAATTAAAGTTAATTAAACTATTTGACGGCACGGTTGGCGCGGTGGGTGGGCAACAGGCTGCCTTGCAACTGGTCGCAGATTCGATTCCCGCACGTAAAAACTTGTGGGATCCACAGATTGCTGTGGTGTCATTATGTATGTGAAATTGTATGTTTGTAAACGCACCCAACGTTCGACACAGGAGAAACCCTAGTGTGGGGCAACGTTCTAAAAAAATCAAATTTACTCAATGTTTTTTTTATAATATACGACGGAAAAAGTAGACCACCTACTAAAATAGTAGTAGCACCCCTATCACTAAAGAGTTACAAGTACATATTAAATTACAATTATATGTCGTATCATAAATTTATATTATAGGTATTAGTCTTACTATCAGATCTGCCTACCTCAATAAAGTAGCTCGATCCCTCCACTCAGCATTCCTACGATGTGTCCTAGCCACTCCACTGGCAGCTAGGACCGCCAGACCAATCGCCAGGTACACCTTCGTGCCAGGCTTCGAACACCACATCAGTTGTACACCGTACGCTGTTATTATTACACTACCCACGCTGAAAAAAAGAGCCTGGTCAGACATTTCATTATCAACAGCTGAGCAAATCCACTGCTGGAGTACGTGGAACTGTGATCTCCACGCTTAGCAAACAAATTAGAGATCGCAACTTAATCCAACACATGTCATGTTATGTGTTACGTACGCATAACTTGATTGGGTACTATTTACTGAGTAAATTAGTAGCGTACGCATGCAAAGTCGATACGATGTTAAATATACTACGAAAATTCGTTTTGCCAACTTGCAAAATACAATACTAGATATGCCTATGCGTAAGTAGGTTGTTATCAATAAAATAAATTTTTGTTTGCGAGCAAACAAAATCGAAAATTCATTTATATCAATAAAAGTTGAATAGCATAAAATAGAAATAGTTAAGTTAAATAACATTTCATTTTTAAACAACGCAATAAATTAGTGCTATATTTGTAAAGTTAGCAATCAACTCAAATTGTTTGTTTACAATTCAAATAATTGGATACTCCATAGCATGATATCAAAAACCCAATTAGTATTTAAAACGAACCGTTTTTACGATATGACCTTTATTTTAACGCAAATATAGTTTAGTATTTATTAATAGGGAACATGTACAAAATGTACCAATATTTCATAGTTACAGTAATTCATAAACAAAGTATCAAATTGGAAACTTTTTCATTGAAAATTCGAAACTAAAATTGGAACAAAACTAATCAAACAGTGATATTGTTGGAGTAGAATATTCATTTGAATATATTTTACCTTGGTATATAAAGCACTCTCTCGGCAATTACAAATCCCACTGTTACCAATAAATTGCTGGCAGGCACAAAGGGTAGAACCATTAGGAGGACGCCGATCACTGCCGGCGTGTGCTTCTGTACCTGGCAACACAAAAATGTCAAAGTATCTTCTTTAACTTTTTTGTATTTTGATTAAAAATAAAACTGCTATCGAGTTCATAAAATACAATTAATTGCTTTGTCAGTGTATTTAATGTCAATCATAATACACACACCTCACAGAAAACCGACGTGAAGCAACGCTTGCGTTGTGTTTCGTCGTGTGAGTGAGGTTACCGGAGGCCCAATTACCTTACCCTTCCCCAATCTCCCCAATCCCTGAATCCCCAACGATCCTTAAACTCCTAATCCCCAAAAAGCCGGTGATGCACTTGTAACGCCTCTGGTGTTCCAGGTGTCCATGGGCGACGTCGATTGCTTACCATCAGGTGATCCGTCTGCTCGTTTAGCGGCTTATGCCATAAAAAAAACAAAAAATTGCTGGTCTTTCTTATCTCTAGGTTTAGCTAAGGATAGACAGGTTAGACCATTTTGGTTGTAAAACGAAACTCAGTAGTAATCAAAATAGCAATACGAATCAATCGATGATTCAAATTGAGTAATGTCTGTGTGATCTTCAAACTAATATTTATTATAATTTGCGAAGTATGTAACAATTAAAAACTACTCGAAGTCTGTATATATCAAATATAAAACCAAATATTACCTCTAAATCGGCAATAAACCGATAGCACAGTACCAGCAGTGCCCCAAAAGCGGCACAAGTGAGCAAGTTCCTGGGGTCCCAACCGCTGGTGATCAGTGGCACTGACCCCATCTGCCAGTCGTGGCTGAGAGTCCACGGACATAGGAGCAACCACCAGTTGAATGCCGCTAGGTAGCAGAACGTCATCAATCTAAAATATATAATGGAACATGTAATAAACGCCCGAATACTGAAAAAGGCTTCGCAATTATAAGTAGCGCTTAGAAATGGCACGATATTTAAGTACGACTTAAATTGACACACATAACATCACGCCTTTTCTTCCCGAAAGGGTAGACAGAGGTGCACATTACGGCACTTAATGCCACTGTACAATGTAACACCCACTTTTCACTATTTATGTTATGAGTCCCAAGTAATAGGGGGTGAGTCTATTGCCATATACCGGGTACTACTGAGATTTTTTTACTAACCCAGTAATACTTTGCCCGACCTGGGAATCGAACCCGAGACCCTTTGCACGGCAGTTGCACTTGCAACCACAAGGCTAATGACTTAAATTGAGTAGTCTTTCAGTATTCGGGCGAAAGTCTTTAAAAAGTTAATTGTGATTTTACTTGTCATTACATGTTTCCTCGACTACTGTATAATCAGGTAACTTGAAATTATTGTCAGTAGGAATTTTAACCTTAAAATCGTGAAGCAATATATTTTACTCGCTTAATACATTTATATACAATTACTCTTTATTTGAAAGGAAAACAAATAATGTTGTTGTAAATTTTTTATTTATGTCAACTATAAATACGAAACAACGATGAATTTCACGCTCTCAAATACATTAAATTGTATATCTTCATTCAAATATATTAGTACTCTGTTATGTATGAAAATAAATTACCTTAAGATTCTACTCACTAACAGTAGTCTATTCTTAGATTTAATTACATATAAGTAGATTTAACAACAAGACGTATCAGAAATACAATAAAATATTGTTCATTCAGTCCAGGCGCTATATGATAATAATTAACAACAATTATACTTCCTCCTAATCTTGTCCCAAGTTGTTAATTATTTAAACTTAACTTTCGTGAGACATACTATATTAATTGCACCTAAAGAGGTTAAACTTAGAACATAAAACTAGCATGTCTATTAGCAAATGTATTGAACATAGCATTTTTTAAGGGGGAAATATCATCGAATGACTGCTCCCGTCTGGGTGAGGCGGGAGGGAGTGTCAGACTCTTACTGACTAAAAACCACCCCGTTCCTTCTCCTGCACGTCAAGCCGGAGCCCCGGTTACCCGTTAGGTTCTCCGCGACATTGAACATAGCATGGAATGATTTTTAGCATGGTATTCTGAAGCACGTTTTTTTGTTGGTTAACATAGGTGCATACAGATACAGGTCTTATAAATGATAATGAAATAGAGTACTATGCTATGCTCGGAGGCGTACAAATTGTGGTGAGCTCAACATTCTATCAGACCACCACAGATGGAACCCAGCAGGGCTATTGCCCGATACGGAGTCGCGGAAGGCCTAACATGGGGTGGAATTAGTCAGTAAGAGTCTGACACTCCCTCTCGCCTAACCCAAGGCGGGACAAGTCAAACGGGAGCGGGAGAACAATGCAAATAAAAGATTATACAAAAGACAAAAAATATGTGTTGAGGAACATGCATAATGATGATATTTAAATATGTAACAGTACATTTAGAATAGCTACATATAAATACTTTACCTGACAAAAAAACTAGGATGAAAGGCAGCTGGATTGTCTTGTGGTGAGAATGAAGGCCACGTCCCTTGTAAAAGTGCTAGTCTCAGACAGACCAGCAAGGCTAAAGAAACTACCACTTTTATAGTCCTTAGTGATAGCCCTGTACATTTCTTCTCAATTTTTAAGGAACATATTGATCTGAAAATTAAAATTGTATTAAGCAAATTTACTTAAAGACCTAGTTCAAACACACGGATTCTTGTTTATAGTAATATTTGTTCATCTTTCATAGTAGTTACCGAGTAAAAATCTCGGCGAGCTCTCCAACAAATGAGAAGCAAATAAAAGCTACAAGTGTCCGACAAGTACTATGAACTAGAAGGTCGCGGGTTCATTACGAACCTCGTTGAAATATTGTGGGGCACCCAGTTCTAACTGATGCATACTTTGTAGAACAAAAAAATTGTTTGAAACTAGGTCCAATTAGCATTACGTTTTTATATTTTCTGCTGCCTCAACTTCACTAATTACGTTTTTATCTAGAACTATCTAGATCAACTTGATGCTTTTACAAATTAAGCCCGTTGTTATTGTAACCTTTTCCTTAAATGAACATAAACAACGTCAATTTATCTTCGCCTCTTACAATGGAAGACATCGTCAAGATAAAACAGATTTTCCAAAACATAAACTCAAGTCCATCAAGGTAAAGAATTTCATAAAAGATTAAAATCTATTACAATACCTTTTAACAAACGGCCAACATCTATAAAAGTCGAAGGCTAGATTGAGTATAAATATCATGATGCCAGTTTCTTTGGCCAGCATACTGAGAGCTCCGAGCACGACGCTGAGCCAAACACACTTCTTGTTGCTCGGAGGCCTAAAAGAGATGGACGATGTTTTATATGGTATATTTATTAGGATAGGGCTTTGAAGGGAGTGTAGCGGAAATGAGGAGGTTGATTATATTTTCTCTTATGTTTCAATTTGGATGCTGATAGAGAATTAAGTTAATAGCGTATGTACATCAGCTGGTTTTAATGGACCATGTGGCAATATACCAAACATTAATCCCTTCATCGTAAAAATGATAGCTCTATGAAATGGTTTCCAAATGGAAAGATATAAAAGAGTTTAGTCAGAGAGAGGTTGGCAATCGCTCGATATAAAGCTTCTATTTAACAGCTACGCCACTTGTGAGAGTATTACAGTACTTCACTATTACCATGGGATTAAGCGAATGATTCTCGTTTTCCAAAAAAAACTTAAGAGGCTTTGCCTGTCACAAAATACACGAAACGTTCAATTGAAATACATTCGATAAGTATTTGTGAAATAAATCTTCTGTAAATAGAATATTCGAGAATCTAAGTACTTAATGTGAAAACTCTTTTTTATTTTTATTACAATTTCAATGTGGAAAGAATGGAATGGTAATGCATATTTAATGATTTAAATTGCATCGTAAATAAAATAAAATTAAATGTAACAAAGTAACTGTGACTGCGATATTATTCATAATGTACTTTACGTTATATGTACGAATAGAGTTTTCCTTTGTGAATATATTTTGTTTAATGCACGTTGAAAGTACAAAGAGGAAAGAGGTCAAACAATTACTCACTGCCTTATATTTTACGAATAAAGTAATAAGTAGATGCTCATTTAAAAATGACAATTAATTTCATAAAGTTTTGTTGTTTTTAAAAAAAGAACTGCTTTAATTAATCAAAAATGGAAGGCAGATGACTGACATTATGCTTTAAATTGATGATGATGATGAGTTATCAAATGATAAAAAAAAACTTCAAGAGTATACTCACCTGTGATAAACTAGAAGTGATGATAGAAAAAAAATACAAGCTAACACATCAGCTCTGCCTACTACTCCAGCTACCTGCCGACAATAGACACATATTTTAATAAACACATTAATTACACAATAACTAACATTATCATAATTATATAAATAGTTACAAAAATAGTTTATTGATTGACATACTTGACTCATATACCAAAATATGTATATTATGTAAATATAAATATGTGTGTATGAAATCTCTAGTCAATAGTTGGTTTACTGTAGATGCTAATATGATGATTACATGTGTCATGGTTTCAACGAATATTATGTTAACCACGTGACTATTATGGCCTGTTTTTTGATCATAACTTAATTCTTAACTGTAGAATAAAATTGACATTTAACAGTTTTTATTATGGAAGAATTGTAAAATATTCATAGTTATTCCTCAGTTAAAATTTGTCTGTAGTTGGAAAAATTAGGCCCTAACCAGCAAAAAATATTTGTGTAAGTTCAACCATATTCAAATCGAACAGATTTATTTAATTAAATTCTGTTTTAATAATGTATGAGACAATAAAAATATACCAATCCAATCAATGATCATAATATCTATAGTTTAATCAGACTTAGTATTATGGTTGAAGTTCGTACCTACCAGCACTACCTGATTGTACGAGATATAAATAAGTCACCGTACTAAACCTGAATAACCTTATTGTATTTTCTTTTTTCGGCATTGACATTTACCTTTTACTAAAGATCCAAGTCCATTGACCTTTGTAATTTTCATAAAATACTGCTAAATTTGTTTATGACCGGATTTAGAAGTTAATTATAGGCAGCTCGACATCGTTAGCGGTGTTTCTTCCATTGTGTAGATTTTTAATAAGAATAGACGTCTCGGCAATTTTTATAAGGGCTGCTGGTAAAATATTATTTTATTTATTGAATAATCTATAGGAGAAAGCTTCTAATATCTCTCACTCACAACAATACTCCTCAACTATATAAGTAAATAATTATAATTACAAAACCTAGTAATAGCCTAACCACTTCTGTTGTAATTAATTATATACTTTCAGCTCAAAAAATCAAAACCTTAATACAAATGAAAAACAATATATTGTGTAAAATATCTACTCACCGCCTCAGTGTGTACAGGATGCACGGCAAACAAGAGTGCCGCTAGTGCAGCGAATGGGCGCTGCAGTCGCGCGATAGTGACGCAAGCTCGCGCCACTAAGGCGCAACATGCAGCGTGTAGCGCAACGTTGCACGCGTGCCACCACCACGGCCTCAGCCCTGCTAGGGCGTGATTTAATCTATAACAAAGGAAACAATGTTTTATTTCAAAAGACTTCAAATAAACATGTGTCCCATACTTTGATTGCCAATAAGCACCTTTCTTAACCTAACTTCACTGACTGACTGACTGACAGACTATTATTTATTTTGTATTTGTTGACGTTTCAAAAGTACCAAATTATGATTTAATTGAAATAAATAATACACTATAGACAGTATGTGCCAGCATCTTATATTAAGAGCAAAATTAGTGCAACTTCATTAAAGAAATTATACATTAAACACTACAGTCAATAGATTACTGACTCATCTATTAAAACAAACCACAATTCAGCATAAAAAATAAATATTCCCGAATAAAAACTAAAGCCAGCTATTAGAAGGAAGCTTGTTTAGAATTCTATTCAATAATTAAGTGTGCAGAACCCACGGGTCTTAGTTTTATGATTAATGGCCCTTGTTTGTTTGTTCTAAAAGCCGCGGCTATTCTCAACTCGTTAATTTAACTTTAACTTCGCCTTAGTTGACGAAAGCCTGCGAATCAATTGTGAACCTTTATAAAAGCGAGACTGAAAAACTGAACGGTTTTGATAATGATTTCGAAAAAGTTACAGATATTTTTTAACAATAATGATAAAATTATATAAGTGAAAATAACTGCTTAATGAAAACTAGTTAATTTTAAAGTAATACTTATGAAACTGTATTTCACGTATTATGATTATTGACTGAAATGGATTGGATTACAAAAAACGAAACGACAACAACAAATAGTATCAAAAAGAACTAACATTCCCGGCAACTATGGACATATATACATATCCATTTTCGGACATTCACGTACTTTTTCGACAACAATACGACCAGGCGCACACAAAACTTTCTAGCGAAGCCAATCAATGAAAAACATCAACTCATCCAATATCCTACAAAAAGAAAACAACGAAAGCTGACCAATTTTTTATATCCAGCCATTTTGAGCAAAGGGACATGAAACTGATACGTCTTGGAAAAAACGAAACTTCATGGTTATCCAACTGATAGGAATGATATTTTTATTGCCATTATAATACAATACAATCAACTTTTATTGCCACAGACTGCCACGTTGGTCGTGTGCTTCATGCCAGCGCGCTGAGCAAGATGATTCAAGTTCGATTCCTGGATCTTTCAAAGAATACCGATCACAATTCCAGGCTCCGTGTCAATACTGAAAATTTTTCAAAATGTTTGACATGCAATTGGACAACGCGTGTCGAAAAATTTGCTGTGGCTTCGATTTCTGAGCAATTGTTTGTGTGACCCACAAATTCTTGTTTCGGGTCTGGCTATCGTGTGTATGTGATATTGTATATTTTTAACTCACCCACGATACAGGAGAAAACCCAGTGTGAGGCAAATTTTCTACGAACTCAATAATAATGTTCTAAACAGGTATTAGACCTGAAATCGTTTGCTCGGCTGCCGTACTTCCAACCAACCAAGCAGTCTTCTGATAGCTGATGTTATTTTTATTGCCATCACGATACGATACAATCAACTTTTACTGCTTCAGATTATGGAGTAATCCTAATGTGGAACAATTACGTAACGCAACTGGTGACATAAAGATTCCTATCGTGCGAGCGTATATTTTGTTGATGTAAGCAATAACTGAGGAATTTTTATTGCGTCTGCGTTATTATATTGGTTTCGTGTGTTATGATATTATAGTTAAATGTTTAATCGATATTTTACTAAATGCTTTTCTTTGAATGAAGAAAATCACTTTCAGTGTAAAGTTTAAAATACGCATTACACAACTTCAAACTCCTTACTAATACAGACAATTTTGGTGTACAGGACACCAAAAAACCCAATTCAGGACTTCTTTTGAAAATACATACACACATTTTCACGCCTACCTCCTATTGAGGTAGATAGAATAGATTCTACTACAACTCCACTAATCATCAATTTGTTCATGCATGCTCGAAAGTAACATTTTTATATAAAAAATTCAAGTAAAAAACCTGATATTTCTATAAAGCTAACATACTCGTATCACTGCATTATTGCACAAACCAGTGAGTGACACATATATACACACACATACATAATTAAGTTTTCTCCCCCACTTCGCGGAAGTAAGCTCAATACCAGTACAACGGTGCGTTACTTATGCACGTCCATAATTCGCCGTAAGTAAACTACGTGGCGGAACCTTTTTCCCTACAATTTACTCTGAGACGTGCGGCCCTTATAAAATGGGTAAAATATACCTTCTTGCTATACCAACACGTCTATGGAAGATAAACGAGCTATTTTTTTGATGCAGTTCACCTGCGTAGAACAGGTTTAAAAGCTTATACTTGTTTATTTTTTTCCTTAAATTATTATTTGAAGCTTATAGCTTAGAATAACTAATTTGGTTCTTCTCAAATCAACCGCGCATATTGGCTACGTCGTAGTAGTACTACGCCGTAGCAATACTACGTCGTAGCAAGATATTCTGTTACTATGATTTATTGGTCTTTACTAGTTTGTGAAACAACGTATTTAGGTTATTATTAAAGCATTACAATAACAGTATTTGCTCGTTTAATTAGTCGTATAAACATGGGTGTTATTACAACTAGCTTTATTTAATCAATGGTTTATAATATATTAGTGATAGGCTGTTTAGTGTCCATAAGACACCTCGTACCGTATGCTAACCAACACAATGCTTTATAATATTCAAAATAAATAACCACTCTTTAAATCCTGATAAAACAATAGCGAATCAAAACATATGGCTTCGATATTTAAATATCACGTTAATGGCTGATAAACATCAGGAGTGCTCTCCATCGCGGGTGAGTGTCCCTGTATAGTCAAACATCAAAATACTACCTCTGTGTCTCTGATTTAATTAATTTACCTATTAATTGTATTATTCTTGATCCCTACTTGAGTTTAGGTTTGTGTAGAATGTTTACAAGCTGAAATGGAGTGTATGCAGAATCAATCTGAAATATATATTCAATTGACATCACTGTACAAATATAATTATAACTATAAACATGTAAATTAGGTAGGGTATGTACTACATTGTCTTAATGTCAATCAAAGTGTTCAATGACTCCTAATACCATTTCAGCATCAATACAGTCAGTGTTACTAGTCAGTAAAAATTAAAAATGCCACATTGTTTCCACGTTTTTCATAATTTTGGACATAAAATCTATATATATAAAAGAAAGTCGTGTTAGTTACACCACTTATAACTCAAGAACGGCAAAATAGATTTGGCTGAAAATTGGTAGGGAGGTAGCTTAGAGCCAGGAGACCGACATATGATACTTTTTAAACCAATATTTTTTCCGAAAATCATGAACGTACGAAGTCGCGGGCAGAAGCTAGTTAATAATAAAGAAAGAGTTGTAACCAGATATTTTCATAGAATCGCATAGGGAATATTATTCTCCATATCTTATTTCACAAGTCAAGTCACTGCTAGCTTAACAAGCATACATAAACCATTACTTTGTCAGTCTTATGCCTTGTTTGTGAAAACTAATTGTTGATGCATGTATGTTGTATACCCTCCTTAAGGATTCATTCAGTTAGGGTACAATAAACAGAGCATCATAGCTACGATTTGCCAAACGGGTAAACTTAAGAATAATACGTACTTTCATATAGTACTTTATACTTCGATTTCAGCAATTAGTTTTTCAGTACTATGACAATAGGAACCTAACCCAATATTCCCAAATGATGGGTATGTTCATTTACATATACATTACACCCGGATCCGGAACAACAATTTGTAGATAACACAAAAAGTTGCTCCGTGTGGTGATCGCACCCAGTACAGGTAGCGCGGTATCCGGTTACCAAGCCACCGTACCCATCGTGCAGTCGACCATCTAAATGATCTCAATAAATGTGCCGACAATAAAAAATATCTAGACAACAGCTACATATATTAAAATATATATGAATTCAAAAATAAGCATTCTCGAGCAAAAACAAAAGACGGTCGTAACGACCAAAAAAAAGAAATTTGAAACTCAAAAAACATTTCAAAAGAACTTCAGCTATAGGATTGTAGATAATAATGTGGAAGTCAGAAAGTCTTTGAAAAGCCTGTCATACTAAAATCTTTGTTTCTTTTTCTCTATGTTAGCGGCCTACTTCCGAAGTCTGTCTTTAACAAGGACTGTTAGTCTCAAAGAAATGCCTCGTCACTTTTGTGCCATAAGTCGTTGTACAGTCACGTGCGATGATAATGCTAGGTTAGGAATTTTAATACTTATCTAGCTACGTGTTTATAGATTAAGCTGTGTTAAAATTGTATCTTAACATAGCTTCTCCGTGTGAGAAGAGGCTTTGCTCAGTAGTGGGCATTTATAGGCTGTTGATGATGATGATGAAAATTGTATCTGTAGTTAGTTGAATATGCAAATAAGTGCGTGAAACTAGATATAGGTATCAACTAGATATAGGTAGATATAAGTAGATATCAATATTATATTTTCTGTAATTATCTATTACAAATAATGATTTATATTAACTAGAATTCGAATTAATACAATTAAATTTTTGTTACAAACAATGACGAACTAACAATATACAGATTTTTTGTGAACCCATTTTCATAAAATATACTTTATAAGTTTGAATTAATTTACATCCAAAATTACAAAAATACAGTTCCAACACGCACGCAAATATTGCAATCTCGCACCACATTGCTGACGAGACTACAGAGACTCTCATACACTCTCTCCAGTGCTTCCATATTGGCAAGACTGAGAATTGAAGTGACCGCAACTTTTATTGCGATGCCAATATTCAAAGAGCGAACGACTGGCAAATGCGAAGAGATCGAATGTCACAAGAGCCGATACTTGAACATTTAATGAGCTTACTGCTTGACTTTCAAATATTGTTGATTTTATTCAGGTATTGTAGAAAATTGCGACTGCCGGGCAAGGGGCCTCGGGTTCAATTCCCGGGTCGGGAAAAGTATTAGGTACTGGGTTTATAA